CTTACACCACCTCCTCCTCCTCTCTCCGCTTCCCCACGTTCATCTCCCTCACGCCGTCTTCCCCTCCTCACCTCTTCGGAAAGATGCAGGAAAATGTTTTCATCACGCAGTGAACGTTCGGATTCTCCTGTTGACACATGTCTGAGGTTTTGCCTGTCACCACTACCACCTCCTCGTCTGCTCTCCTTCGCTCGTGCTCTCTCGTCTTCTCCCCCTGCCTCCCCCTCGTCCTCATGCTCTACCACCACCACCACCTCCTCCTCGTCCTCCTCCTTCCCCTCCTCCTCTACTTCCACCACCACCTCCTTCTCGTCCACCACCACCACCACCTCCTCCTCTTCCTCCGGTCGAATTCTTACCTTCAGACGAACATGACTGATCTCCCCACTTCCACCTACAGCGAAAACCCATGAGCATGCACAAAAGAGGACAAGAGAAGTGAAGACAGGGGGAAGCGTCTATAGGTATGACAACGGAGAACGAAGATGGAGGTGGGGGAAAACAAGGGGGAGGGGAAGAAATAGACAAAGAGAGGAGAGCAGTGGAGGACAAGGAGGAAAAGAGGTAGGAAAAAGAGGAGGAGAAGGAGGAGGAGAGGGAGAGGAGAAAGAAAAAGAGGGAGAGGGCAGGTGAAGAGGAGAGTAGGAAAAGCGAAATACCCGTCTGATCGCCTCCAGCCGGTACTGCAGCATCGGGCTGTCCGATGAGTCAGAGAGGAGGGAGGGAGGGAGGGAGGGAGGGAGGGAGGGAGGAGACACTCGTACCTCAACCTTCTTCCTCAAGATCCCAACGACCTCAAAATCTTCCTCCTTCAATCGGATCCCCCTCCTGCATCCAGGTGGATGTCAGCCAGCCTGCTCACAACGCTTCTCCAAGACCTCAACAGGCTCCTCAGCTCGGTGTGACTCCTGCTCAAGGCCCTAGACGTCGACTGCAGGAAAGTGATGTAGTCAGCACTAGTCCTGTTGCGAGAGAGGATACTGTCTCACGATCCAAAACGTTCCAGTACACACAAACATCTTCACTAACTCACTCACTCACTCACTCACTCACTCCCTCACTCCCTCTCTCTCACACACACACACACACAAAAGACTCTGGCAGAATTTTTCATGTCATCGCTCACCCTCGGGGCGGCGATGTTGGTGCCGTCGCCATGGTCGCTGGGAGACGAAGGAACACTCTACAACATCCAACTTGTCAACAGTCAAGAGGGAGCGTGGACAAGCCCACCAGGTGCACGTTGTTGAAGTACTCGATGTCGATGTCGGGAAGCAAGGTCTGGGGTGCTAGAGCACCGGGAGCAGCAAGCAACGAGTATGTCTCTCCCTCTCGCAGCTCCTGCAGGGATACGAGTCATCTCAGCTCGCCTCCTCCTCAACTTCTTTCCTCCAGTTTCCACTTTGAGATCTTCTGAGGGCGTCCGCTTGAGTTCTCCCGCCGGAAGCTGAACCCTGTAGCAAGGCTTCTCAGTTGTCTTCTTTTTCCTAGTTCTCTCTTCATCTCTCCTCTCTTCATCTCTCTTCATCTCCCCTCTCTTGATCTCTCCTCATCTCTCATCTCACTCTCAATCCCGCCCATCAGCTATCTTCACATCCCCTCACCGTCATCACGCGGCCTGGAACGCTTCTGCAAGCCACAACGCTGCATGCCTGTCTGTTATCTTATGATGCAACAGTCAGCAAGTGTTTCATATCGCATGGTACAACAAATTATTTCTCTTACCTCGCAATATCAGTCAAGACAAGTGATCGCCGTCAATCCTTCCTCGGCATGGTAGGATTCTTCTCGCGCGGCACGGTCCTCCTACTAACTGTTAGCCGCTTCGCATGCGCGCTGACGTCTCAACACTCATAGGAAGGATACAAGGCTCAACATGGAATCTGAGTCTGCTGCTACCACATCCCTCCTCTTCATGCTCTGCCTGGGCTGCCGCACATTTCCACACATGGAAATCCGTCGAAGGTTTCCTTGTATTTGTTCACCAACACTTGGTGAGAGGAACTAGACAAGCAATCTCGACATTCTTTGAGGATCATGCGCCATCTCTTGTCTCTTGTTTCTCTCATGTTCTCCCCCTCTCCTCCTCTCCCTCTCTGTTCGCTTCCCCTCCATCGCCTTTGCAGCCCCCTGGGGCTGGCCAGCATGGCGGCAGGCACCAAGTTAGCCCCCATCTCGGTTAAATTTAGAACTCTTCCGCTTATTTAGTAAGTATTTGCTTGATTTAGATACTTTGGACGTAAATTAGGTACTATATAGTCTATTTAACCAAATTGTGATCAAACTTAAGTTAAAATTCCTTTGGTGGTGAATTTTCCTTTGAGGTCCTAATGCTCAGGAATGACTAAAAATAAGTCTCAACTCTGAATGTTTAAGTAGAATCCTTTTTAAAATAACTTAAAAGTATGGAAATTTAACTACTTTGTAGTTAAATTTACCGGGAAGTTTAACGGATCAGGGAGCATCACCCCACCCCTTCTCGAATCAAAACTCACCCCACCCAGTGAACTTCAACTTATGTGACCCCACCCCATATAAATCTTGTACCCACCCCTTCAAAATTATCAAAAGTACCCCTTACTTTCCTCTGAGGGAAACACCCACTACCCCTACTTCAGGAATTCAGAGACCCCACCCGTATCGAAGGTGACTTTCAGAGGGTTGATGGGGTGGGTTGTTTGCAAGGCGCAGGCTACAAACATCCATATTTGAAGGCAGCACGGGAACGGAAGGAGAGGGAGGAGGAGGGGAGAGGAGGGGATAGGAGGGGATAGAAGAGGAGGGGAGACGGGGAGAGGGGAGGAGGGGAGGAAGCTGAGGAGCTATGGGGATCAGGAACTAGGAGGAGACGAGGAGAGGGGAGGAGGGAGGGAGTGGGGGGGAGGGAGACATGATTCGTGCTGGGGGGCAAGAACCGAAGGAAATGGCAACTGAGACGAGAATGTGTCTTGTTGGATCCAAATGAAATTTCTGACATTGTTCAGGGCAGCTCCAGACAGTTTACTTCCAACCAAGACGAGCTAGTGATACATACGACATGAACGATATAGGATTTTCCCTCAGGAGGGACCGCACATTTTTGATAAACAAGCTTTCATTGAGTTGATTCGCGATCTATGAAACAACTTCGTTTTGATATGCATCAGACAACCTTCACACAATTATCAACAAATCTCTGCTTCCATCTCAATGTGCACACAGCGACAGCAAGTAGAACAGACTACACCCTAAGGATGAAACCCTCAGTTCTATCCAATCACTTGGTTGTAGATGTGTGAGTCCGCGATGTCACATAGCAACATCTGTTCTCACTCTTGCTGATTTCAATGCTTCTTGCAAGCTTCCCATCCCGTCACCCGGGATCAGATCATACAGGTGGTAGACGAGGAGACATGCAAGCAGAATAACACGGTAGAATTGATCGTGTTGTTGTGCACACAACCTCCGAGAATAAGAGAGAGCAGCAGCAGCAGAAGCAATCACTGCTGCGTTTAATACTGCTGTCGGCTATTTCCCCTACACGCGCTGAGGCACGGTATGCAGCATGTATGAGTCCTTGGTCCGGTCTACCACACATGTCCTTGATCAATCTATCACGATCCTGAGACCCCGGGCTTCATCATGACATGCCTCGTTTCAGCCTCATCTTGACCTCTTCTTTGCGCTAATCCCTCCCCTATACCTCTCGTCCTGTATCCTTCTCCCAAGAATCGTCTCACCATTCTGAATATCATCTCATTCCCCCCCTTCCCATCCTACTTCTTCTCTCCCGCTTCACCCCTTACTGTTTCCGACTCCCTCTCCGAATCTTGTTCCATTTTTCTCACTCACTCTAATCCTGCCCTGCCCTGCCCTGCCCTGCCCTGCCCTGCCCTGCCCTGTCCTCTCCTCTCCTCTCCTCTCCTCGCCATTCAATGCCCTGTAACCTCCCCGAAACGCATTCCCCTATGTTACCTGAGCCTAGAATGGATTGGAAAGGGGTGGGAGTGGTTTGGTTTGGTGCGGTTTGCTTCTGTTAATCTTAGATTTGTATGGTCTTGGGCCGTATCAGGTGGACGGAGTGTTCAACACTTGCTTCGAGGAGAAGTCAGAAGACAACTCAAGCGAAGGAGGCCTGGACTTGTTTTCAAGGCATAATGGCGTACTTCAAAAGCGAGAAGTCAACGAATTTGACTCAAGACGTTTGATCAAAGTTGGAGGGAGGAAATGGAATGAGATGCGAGAGTATTCTCAACCTAGAGTCTCATCAAACCTGTCTGGGTCGCAAGCCTTCTCCCCTATCCTTTCGAGTGCTGCTTCACGTGCTTCTGATCATGCTGGTTCTGTCGATGAAAATCAAACCATTCAACCTTTTCAGTCGTCTGGATTTCATTTTTCTTCGAAGCTCCCTCCT